TGGTTCAGCTATGTGCTTGAAGAACACATAGTACAGCGTTTCCAAGGGCCCAAGGAATAAAATCCCTGCATAATTTCCATTCCTATGTTTGGTGGTAAAAGATCTTGATGGAAAAAGGGGGAACATTAATAATAAGGCAGCACAAGTTAAATTAATTATTCTATTAAAGTTGGCTTTGATATATTGTTGTATGTCAGAGGTGAAGCTGGCTTCCCAAAAGCTGTTACAGAAGGGTGCAAGCTCCTGCAGGTTCTAAGGTCCTATTGAGCTGGAAGGGTTTGAGTATGGGGCTGCCAACAGAATGTACAGCAGCTGTCTGAAGGTCAGCCTAATTAAGGTTGGGAGAGGGTCATCAACCAATCAGACATCAAACATTTATTGAAAACAAGGTACTGGTGGATGTTAAGACAAAAGACGATCTAGTCCTAGCTCTGAAAGAGTTTACATTTATCACTGAGGATGAGGCTTTTTTTTTGGCCATAGCAATACTGGAAGAACATGAGCTAAGGCACAGAGAGATATGATCTGCATCAGTGAGAGAACCCACACTGAAAAAAAAAATCACAAAGCCTTGAATATGAGTTAATTGCTTACTTGATCAATTTATTTATTGCGAATTTTTGAAATTTTATTTTATATTTTTTCAGTTAAGAAGCATTTGTTATTTTTGTCTCTTACCTCTCTCCATTGGAAAAACAAAACAAAACAAATCCTTTGTAATCAAGCAAAGTAAACTGAATTGCCACATTAATTAGTTCATTTATTTAGAAGAATTTCACATTCCCCATCAAGAGAGTTGGTGATAATTAGGGAATCTTAGGTTCCAATTTGGGCAACCTTCTCTAACACACAAGCTCATTGCTTGACATCCTCCACCCTTTTCTTCAGGGGTGGAGGGAGGGATGGGATTGTTATTTTAAGCCTAATCATCCACTTACCAATTGATCTCTGGTGATGACTGGTTGAATATGGTGTAGTTCTGCTTGGGGCAGCCCCAGCTGTGGAAAGCCATGTAAGAAAAGAGAGAGACCATTAAAATGAAGCAAACTAGATCAAAATCATTTGTTAAGAGTATTTAGGAGGTAAAAAAAATTCTGTGTTGAGGTATGCAAACAAATATGGAAAAAACTTAGATGTAGTGAAGAAACTTATGCGGAGTCCAAAACATTCAAAGGAGAAGGTGACAAAGGAGTTACAGTGGATAGAATGCTGGACTTGGAGGCAAGAAAACTTGAATTCAAATCTTGTTTCAGCCACTTACTAGCTGTATGACCCTGAGTGAGTCACTTAACCTCTCCCAGCCTCAGTTTCCTTGTCTATAAAATGAGGATAATAACACCAATCTCATAGGGTTCTTTTGGGTATCAAAGTAGATAATATGTGTAACATGCTTTGCAAACAGCAAAGCTCTATATAAATGCTAACTATATTATAATTATTTCACAAAAATAAAAAAGCCCTGGCAAAATATACAAACTCAGAAGAAAAAGCCATCATAGAGATGCAAAAACAGATTATTTTGTAAATTTTACATGTTTACAACAAAATAAATTATTTAGAGTTTGTGGTTTCACATTTTCTTTTTTATTATTTTTATTAATATTTTTGGCAGTAATTAAATTTATAATAAAATTATTTAAACATAAAATGTTTGCATTTAACTATAATCTTTCTTCACTGAAAATTTCATGGAATCCCATTATTATTAAATCTTTTATGATCATACATTCATAGAATTAGATTTAAAATATTTTTTAAAATCTGGAAGGGAACTCAGAGATCAATATTTTATTGATAAGGAAACAGGCTTAGAGAGAGGAAGAGGTTGGCCTAAGGTCACACAGTGGGTCAGTAGCTGAGAAGGACTCAAATTCAGTTATTCCAACTCCTATTCTGTGAGGGATGGCTCACAGTGAAGTTCCCTCATTAGTATCTTCCTGCTACACTCTTACCTCCCTGCTATGCTCCTATCTCTCTCCTACACTCTGCCTGAGTGTGAGAGATGGGCCTGCAGTGCAGCTCCCACAGACCTAAGTTTTGTTCCTTCAGAAAGCCTTGAGTTAAGTTTCCATTTCCCCTGATAAGTTTCTATTTCTCCAGCACCATGTCAGCATGGGTGGGGGAGCTCGGTTGCCTGGTCGCTCCTACTTCCTAGTACACATATGCATCTAGTCCAAACATGGGCATGTTTGCTTCTATTGGGTATTAGTGTTTACAATGTACGCCCTGAGTACCCAGTCAAAGGAGAAAGGGGTAAGAGAGTGGGAGGGTGTGCCTCCCAACTTGTATTCTCCTGGCTGGCAATGGCGACCAGGGGCAGTACCCTTTCTCATGAGAAAGCAATAAACTCCTTTCTGCTTTCAAGGTATCTAAGTCTTTGTTTTGATTTTGAGTGGGTGGTCTCTGTCCCACACATATTCCATCACACCAGTACCACCCTTGGAGAAACCTGCAAAGATGTCATAGATACTTGCTCAGGAGTCAGAAGATCTAGGTTCAAGTCCCCCCCACCCCTTTTGCTTACTTAGCTTCTTTGATCCTCAGTTTCCTCATCTGTAAAATGAAGGGGTTTGACCAGATGGCATCTGAGGTCCCTTTCAGATCTAGAGCAATAATAGATCCCATTACCCATCTTTTTTTCTAGGCTGTGACTTCTGCTCCCTTTTTTTCTCCAACCTCTACCACCTTCCCCTCCAAGAAGATTTCTGGCCCAAAGACCCATGGGCTTCCAGGCAGATGAAAGCATGCACCCTTGACCTACAGGGGGAATCTATCAAGCCATAATTATTAAGCACCTACTAGACCACCAGGCCGAGCTGCCAGGAGACAGACTAGAACAAAATAATACCCAGCCTCAAGCTGCTTACATTTTATCCAGGGAAACAAAATAATTAATTAGATACAACATAATTAGATACAACAAAATTAGATACAAAATAGAAACAAAGTGAATACAAAGGTGATTTTCTGCATGAGGCCCCTGGGACTGGGGAGAGGCTCAAAAAAGGGCTCATTTAAGAGCTCAGAAGGTAGGAAGCCAGCAGAGGTGAGTAGGGAGGGCATCGCAGGCAATAGGGAGCCATTAGCATTTTTTTGTGACTGTGATATATAGCCCTTCCAGGGGCAGACTGAGAGCAGACCCTCATTAGAAGCAATTCTTTCCCTCCTCCCTTCCCCAACAAATATTTGGATTTAGGCAACTCAATCAAAGTGCTATTCTAAAAATGTAGTGTGAGGGACTAGACATGGGATTTAACTAGTATAGGCAAATATCTGGTGAGGAAATTGCTACCAGTACAAGTACTGCAACTTACAGTTGTAAAGAGTGGTTTAGACCTAGAACACTGATTTATCCTGGGTCTCACAGTCAATATGTGTGAGAGGTGGGACTCAAACCCGGGTCTCCTGGCTCCCAGACCAACTTTCTATCCACTATACCATCCTGTCTCCCCTAAAAGAAAACAGCAAAAAAATAAAATTCTAGAGTGGTTTGAACTTTTAAAAAAAATTTTTTTTAGGCAATTGGGGTTAAGTGACTTGCCCAGGGTCACACAGCTAGTAAGTGTCAAGTGTTTGGTCTGAGGCTGGATTTGAACTCAGGTTTTCCCGACTCCAAGGCCAATGCTCTATCTACTGTGACACTTAGCTGCCCCCTGGTTTGAACTTTTCAAAGTTCTAGCAGCACACAATATTTTGCCTTTGCAAAATTCTTTGAGGGTAGGTACAAGTAGATTTTATTATGTCCATTTACTGGTGAGAACACTGAATCCAAAAAGGTTGAGTGACTTGCCCAAGGTCAAATTAATTGATGAGTTGGCTCTAGAATGTGCACTTCTGTGCAGCTTTGGGAGATGACACAATGTTCCTCCCAAATCTAATCCTTGAGGAATCACTGTCAGCAGCTGTAGCTGCAAAAAAACAGTGTCTGAGAGCATCTGCAGAAAGGAGATGAGTGTCACTCTGAGGTACAGCACCTGACAGGTCAGTCTGAAGTCTGGCTGCTGGAAGGAGGGCTGAGATATTGGACTTCAAAATCAGAAGTGAGGGAAGGAATGGGAGAAGAGAAACAACTAATAAAGTTATAGTGTCCTAGGAAGTCACCACCCCAACCACAAACCACTCAGACCCACCAGATACTTTGATCACATATATGCATATATACATACAATACCCATATATATATATTTGGTGAGTTGGAATTGGAACTGATACACACACACACACACATATATTTATTTAGAATTGTGTTTTTATAAAAAATGTATATGTGTATCTATCTGCTTATCTATTCACACATATACATATATGTAGACACACATATATATTTTTAACCCCAATTCATCAATTATAATTATACATACATATATGTATATCTCTCTGTTTATCAACACATATATACATATATGTGGATATATACATATACATATGTGTATATATCAGTTCCAATCCTAATTCATAAATTGTATTTATATACACATATATGTCTGTCTATTGATCTACTGATCTATCTATCTATCTATTTTATAAACTAGTGTATCTCCATAGCAAACCATTATTAGAGAAGTAGTTAGGGTGTCATGCAGAGAGTGCTTGGTTTGAATCCCCCCTCAGATACTGTTAATATAATTGTGATCCTAGGCAATCAATTTTATCTTTTTGGACCTCTATTTCCTCATCTGTAAAATGAAGGAGTTCGACCTGATGACTTCTAAGGTCCCTACTATCCCTAAATGTATGATCCTATGATCACAAAGTTAACAGATCCCCCTGAGGGGATCCATAATAGATCCTTGTCACAAATGAATAGATCCTCACTACAAACCAGGGAATTTCCAGAATGGATCCTCATTACACAAATGAGAATCTCTTGCAGACCAAGATGGTCGCCTCGACAACTCACCATCCAATCCCCTGGACTGGGTCATCGAGAAGGACTCGTACAATGTACAAGAGACAGGTGAGCAGCTTTAGAGAAAAGTTGAACAACCTGATCCTCAGGCCTGCAAGAGGAAAGAAGCATATTAGGGAGGAATGAAAGTGGTGTCAGCAGACATACATGCGTGGTTTCAGACCAAGGCTCCGGGTTCCAGCACCAGCTCGAATTCTCCAGGGCTGACAATGACTTCAGTGGGAGCAAATTCACTTTCTCCAGTTTATAGATCAGAGCTGTGTGAGGCATCACCACTGGTCCTTCCTCTCCCTTTAGGGCAGCTCAATAGCACAATGGGTAGAGTGCTGGATTCAGAGTCAGAAAGACCCAAGTTCAAATTCTTCTTCAGACCCTTCCTAACTAGGTGACCCAGGGCAACTCACTTGCAGTCCCTGGGCTTTACCCTCACCTACAAAGTGAAGGGACTGCACTTGATGGCCTCTGAGGTCCCTTCCAGGTCTAATGAATCTCAGGCCGGCAGATGTTTAGGTAGGTACTTGGAGGGAGTTGTGAGTGTTTTACTACGTCCCCAGGTGACCCACTTTTCCCTGTAGAATGGGGATAATGATAGCACCTGACTTCTAGAGTTGTTAATGAGGATCGAGTGAGACAATATATTGGACATATAAAAATATATGTAAAAGTGCTTTGCAAATCTTAAAGTGCTATGAAACTGCTAGCTAGTATTATTATCAATTATTTTCCAGCCTGCTCATCTTCCTGGGTCTGACACAGGATGCAAATGATTCTAAGCAGTCTTGGCACACCCCCTTCTTTTTACTCCAGAGCCTCATCTGGCATTGGCTTTGCTGAGGGCTACCTAATGTCCAAGCAGAGGGAGGCAGGATGCTTGGGATTTGTTGGTGGAGGCTCCACTGCTACTAGCTTTTATTTTGATCTCCTAAGGCAGAAAATGTGAGGAATGTTTTAGAAATAACATTAGACTGCTCCGAGAAGAATTTTTCTTCTTTTTAGTATCATTTAACTATTTTTCTTCTTTCATTTTGAATTTAATTTGTTGTTGTTAGTCATTTCAGTGCCGTCCGATTTTTCATGACACCCTTTGAAGTTTTCTTGGCAAAGATACTGGAATGGTTTGTCATTTCCTTCTCCAGCTCATTTTAAGATGAGGATCTGAGGCAAACAGGGTTAAGTGATTTGCCCAGGGTCACGCAGGTAGTCTGTCTGAGGCCAGATTTGAACTCACAAAGATGAGTCTTCCTGACTCCAGGCCCAGCACGCTATCCACTGTTACCTAGCTGCCTTATATAAATTTAATAAATACCCACAAATATGAATATTTCAATGTACAAATACAAGTGAATTGTAGGTGGAACTGTGATCTATTAGATACAGTTTGTTTTCTTTAAAGTGTATATTGAATTTAGCCTTGTACCCTAACGTCCCCCCTCCACACCATTCTACCCTGCTTGTCTGTGTTCCCTCCTGAGCTTCCTTCTGCTCAAGGAGGAGCTTTCAAGAAATGCTGATACAAGGAAGAACATCCTAACAAACAAAGCTGCTACCAAATGATCCAGGCTGCCCCCTAAGGGAGTGAGCGCTCACTCACAAGGAGTATTCAAGCAGGGACTGGGTGATCCTGTGAGGGATGCCACAGAACTGATGGGAGGTTTGTGAATGGTCTTTGTGGGCTGTCCTGGTTCTAGAATTCTAAGATTAATTAAAGAAAGGCTGGGCAGTTTCCAAGATGCTATGTCAGGCCTCCAGGTTTTTGAGTGCAGCCTCTGACAGGTGTCCCTGAAGGCTCTAGGGAGTAGCCTTGGCTTTTGACTTGGAACAAACATTTCTATGCTAATTCTAAGACCAAATCTGTTCACTGGGAAAGCTGTCGGCTCTGCCCTTACTGAGAACTAGAAGAGTGCCTTCTTCGCAATACCTATCCCTCCCCTCTCTCTCTCCCTCCAACACACACATACTGGAAATGAATTTTTCCTTCCTTCCTCTGAGAAGCACAGAAGGGCTAAAACAGTTTCCTCCTTGAACAGCTGCAGTGAGGGGTGGGGAGTGACAGTGGGGACTTAGATGCTAGGCTTTAGTGAATTACAGAAGGATAGAGTACATAGTGTGCCACATTTGGAGTCAGGAGGCCCTGGGTTTGGGTCCCTCCACAGATACTTGTTAGTGGGCCTGGACAAGTTACATGGCCTCTCTGGTCTTGCAGTTCCTCACCTGTAAAATGCAGGGATTGGACTTGATGTCCTCTGAGGTCCCTTCCAGTTCTAAATCTATGGTCCTATGAATCTCAGGCTGACAGACCATGGCAAGTCCCCAGAGGGAGCTGAGAGTGTTTGACCATGTCCCTGGCTTCAAACTAGGGTAGATTGGCCTGATGCATCCTGGGGATCAGGGCAGCATAGCCAGGCCCTGCCCGAACAGAGAAAAACACTTTTTGGCAACCAGAATACACGTGTGGTCTATCCCAAAATGACCCTTGGCATCTCACTCAAGGGACAGCAGCAGAGGCCGTGAATGATCGTGTCCCCACAAAGGCACTTCTGATGAGTTTAAGTGTCTAAGGAGCAGTCTACTAAAAAAATATAGCAACCATAGAGCTGAAAGGGATCTTAGAACAAAGCATAGATTATGTCAGAGCTAAAAGTTTGTTCAGATTTAACCCTTCATTTTTCAGAGATGGGTATTGGTGACTCTTAGAATTTCAGTATTGAAAGATATTTTAGAAACTTGATCAAGATGACCAAGTCAGTCACAAAGCCAGGACATAAACTCACATCTCCTTTCTCCTAAGAATCAAGGCAACCTGGTTCAGTGGAAAGATACTGGATTTGGAGTCTGGTGTCCTGGATTCAAGTCCTAGTTCTGTCACTGACTTACTACTTGTATGTGTCACTCCATGCAGGAGTTATATCGGCAGTATCCTTGACAAGGTTGTCCATCTTCTGCTTGAACACTTCTAGGGACAGGGAGCTCATTCCCTCAGTTCATTTTGTAAAGGCTTTGTTAGGAAGTTCTTCCTTATATGAACCTTTCAGAGAAAAAGCTGGAGCCAGTTCCCTTTTCTAAAACACTCCTCTTATTTTTTGACTCAGAAAAGAAACCACTAATAGTGGTGGGACCTCTGTCAGATAATGTCAGGTATTAGGCCTCACTCAGGCATTATGTGTTATTCAGCAGAGGCAGTGACAGGTATCTCCAAAATAGAAGAGACCAGTGCCTAGAACAGTACTAAGCACATAATAGACATTTAATAAATGCTTGTTGATTGATTGATGAGCAAGACAATTCTCCTCTCTACACCTCAACCCTGTGTAATCTTGGACAAGATAATTCATTTCTGTGGGCCTCAGTTTCCCCATCTGTAAAATAAGGGTGTCGGACTAGATGACCTCTATAAAGTCTCTTCCAATTCTAAGTCTATGATTATGTGATCTCAAGAGTTGTGAGGGACCTCGGGAATCATCCAGTCCAACTCCTACCCGAGCAAGAATTCCCTCCAATAGTCAGCATCTATATAGCATGTTAAGGTGTGCACAGCGCTTTAAAAATATTATCTCACTCTGGGAGTGAGGGCTTCCACTTTATAGATAAGGGAACTGAGGCAAACAGTGGTTAAGTGGCTTGCCCAGAGTCATACAGCTAGTAAATGGCTAAGGCTAGATTTTCCAGACTCCAGGTTCAACGATTTACCATTGAGCTGCCTTGCTACTCCCTTTATAACATAGGCGTTCGGTGGTTATTTAACTTTTGCTTCCAAATGTCCACGGAGGGAGGATCCAATAAGTGCCCAGGCAGCGTCTTCCATTTTTTTGACAGCTCTAATTGTTAGGAAGCTTTTCTTTATGCCAAATCCAAGGTTGCTGCTCAGCAACTTTCATGCATTGCTCCTAGTTTTTCCTCTGACACTAATTTAGACAGGTCTGATCCTCCTTCCCCATTTAAATGGGAACCCTTAGAATATTTGAAGACAGCTACCATATCCCTGTGAAATGTTCTCTCTCAGGCAAACTATCCCAACTTCTATCAGTCCTCATTTGTCACGAGCTTAAGGTCCTTCACTACCCTCACTATCTCCTATATGCTGTTCAATTTATCAGTCCACTTCCTTAAAATGTGGGACCCAGAGTTTAGCACAACATCCCAGAGGTGGTCCACCAGAGAAGAAAGTACAATAAGATTATCCCTGCTCTAGTCCTATGTCTCTTATTTCCTAATAGGTAAAATGAGAATATTATAATGAGAGGATCTCCACAGTCTCTTCAAGTTCTAAATGCTGTAATCATTTGCTCAAATGTCTATGATTCTACCCTTAACTGCTTAAAAAGCAGGTGGTAGGACTGCATGACTATCCATGATTCCAGAGGTTCAATGGTGAAGCATTCTACTCACCCTTGGATGGAACTGATGTATTCAGGATGTGAAATATATACCTTTTTGGATATGGCCAATGACAGAATTTGTTTTGCTTAACTAACCATATTTGGTTTTTTTGTTTTAATTAATTTATTTATGTTTAGCTTTCAATATTCACTTCAACAAGATTTTGAGTTCCAGATTTTCTTCCCATCTCATCCCTCCTCCTACCCCAAGATGGCATGCATTCTGAATAGCCCTTCTTCTAATCTGCCCTCCCTTCTATCTCCCCACCCCTGCCCTTCTCTCATCCCCTTCCCCTTTTATTTTCCTGTAGGGCAGGATACATTTCTATACCCCATTGCCTGCATATCTTATTTCCCAGTTGCATGTGAAAACAATTTTTAACATTTGTTTTTAAAAACTTTGGGTTCCAAATTTTCTCCCTTCCTCCCTTTCCACCCACCCTCATTGAGAAGGCAAGCAACTCAATACAGTTTATACATGTGTAGTCATGCAAAATACTTCCATAGTAGTCATGTTGTAAAAAGCTAACTATATTTCCCTTCATCCTATCCAACCCCCCTGTTTATTCTATTATCTCTTTCAACACTGTCCCTCCTCAGAAGTGTTTGCTTCTGATTACCCCCTCCTCCAATCTGCTTCCCCCTTTATCATCTCCCTGTTCTCTTATCCCCTTCCCTCCTATTTTCCCGTAGGGTAAGATAGATTTCCATACCC